GTCAGACACACCTGGTTTTGAGTTCTAGCTCTGCCTTTTGATCATCTTGTGACCTCAGCTAAGTCACTTAATTTCTCCAAACTTCAAATTTCCTCATTCACAAAATAGAGATCATAATAGTACTTAACTCCAAGAGTTGTAGAAAAGATTGCATGAGATAATGCACATAATGTTCTTATGCAGGCTCTTTCCCCCATTCCTGTTCCCTGGAATAATATTCTAATACCATTAAGGACATAATAATTATTTTAATTAGAAATTGAAGGAGATTATCAAATATGAGGGAATGTGTAGTTTTCAAAGTGAGCTTAAAGGATTGATTTAGAAACAGCAAGCAGGGCATTCTCTTATCCCTGACTCTCTACAGTATAACTCATTATGATATCCCTGATGTTACAATATATCATCAAAGTCGCCTTCATTAATATAGTTTCAATGAGAAGTCCTGTCCTTTCCCTTCCCAGTTTTAGGAGTTACTGTGTGATATCCACTGTCTCTTCAGTATGGTTTTCCAAGTACATCATCTTTGTCATCATGTATCTCCAATTTAATAATTACTGATTGTTAGTTGGTTTTCAACTAGACCTTTTGGCAAGCTTTATTTCATTTGTAATCACTTATTGAAATTGTAGTGAATTCCCTGGCGGTCTAGTGGTTAGGACTCTGTGCTTCCACTGCAGAGGGCCTGGGTTCGATCCCTAGTCAGGGAACTAAGATCCTGCAAGCCCTGCGGCGCAGCCAAAAAAAAAAGAAGAAGAAGAAGAAGAGAAAAGAAATTGTATAGGCTTCTGGGTTATTTCAACCAGTCGTGGTACTGTCAAATGTTGTGGTTCAAAATGCACTTGTTTAGAGTAGTTCTCACTGTTTTCCATTGTGATAGTCCTTGAAGTATAAAAATCGGTTTTAAGGTGAAAAGAATTATTTTAAAGTGATACAGTTAAAAAATAGAGCATGGGGCTTCCCTGTTGGCACAGTGGTTAAGAATCTGCCTGCTAGTGCAGGGGACATGGGTTTGAGCCCTGGGTCGGGAAGATCTCACATGCAGCGGAGCAACTAAGCTCGTGCGCCACAACTACTGAGCCTGTTGTGCTCTAGAGCCCGCATGCCACAGCTGCTGAGCCCACGTGCCACAACTACTGAAGCCCGTGCACCTAGAGCCCGTGCTCTGCAGCAAGAGAAGCCACTGCAATGAGAAGCTCGCGCGCCGCAACAATGCAGCCAAAAGTAAATAAATTAAAAAAAAAAATAGAGCCAAAGCAGTTTCTGATACTATGAATGAAACATGCATTTTTATTTATAACATACCTAAGAACCATTGTGTGAACCCTGTCTGGCATATTAGTCTAAAATAAAATTGTAGATTAGGCATTGTGTCTTCCTTTGGGAGTTCTTTACCCCATTCTTTTGTGATTTAAAATAGCTCTGCCACTTCCTGTATAACATTATGTTTTAAAGATTTTTTTCCCATTTTTTCCTTTTATGAAAATCCCTTCAATTGATGCTGTTTTTCTTGTCTAAAAATTCTTACCTGAGTAGTACTTTTAACTGTTTTCACCCCTTGGAAATTATAGATATTCAGGTGAAAGTTAAGCACCTTCTGGTGATGGTGATTTTGAGTGGCATTCACATTGCTAATAAATTGACAAAGTATAGAACTACCAACCAAACTGAGGTGGAAGAGACACTAAGAGACTGAGCTGGCCCAGATAAAATAAAGCAGGAGGGAAAAGAAGCACCATTTCTTCCCTTTTCTATGCAGAGGAGGCATTCCACCTCTCCTTGGAGGCTCTTAAGTTACCACTGCCCTCTTGTTAATTATATTCTCTCCAATTTTATTTCCTACCTAATGTCCAGAAAGATTCCCAAATTGTCTTTCTGTCTGTTTTCCCTTTTCCTTTACATTAATATTTGTTTCCTTGGTGTAGATTATGTATCTCAGTAAGGATTAAGAAATAAAATAATCTAATTCAACTAATTAATACAAAAGCCTCCTTTACCAGTCCCAGTATTTTCATTTTCAGAGAGAAACTTGTTCAAATGAACCTCCAATTGATGAGTTTTCAAATTGTTTGACAGAAAATTGGGATGAGGCAAGGTTTTTTTTTTTCTGATTCTTTAAATCTTTGCTGTACCATGATAAGCCCCCGAAGTTATTTCCACTTTTGGTAGCTTCTGTGGTCTTCCTGTATTTCTGAACTCCTGGGTTTTCCAAAAGTTCTGTGTGCACATATGTTAGGATTTTTTCTGTATGGCAATTGGTGGTGATGATAGTTTTTCATAACTCTCACTGAAAACCCCTCCACCTCTACCCTAACCTGAGCAGTGAGTCCTCTTAGATGGCAGTGAGACTATCAAAATATTCCAGGTCTCATTTTCTCCATATCTTACTCAAGATGGAGGTTTGAGGAACTCTTAAATAGGAATGAATAAACACTTGACATACCACACTAAAAGTTTGCTAACTCCTAAAATTAAGAAAATAGTCTAAGAATTCTCTTTTTTGCAAAAGAAACATAAGCCACACCATCCAAATATAATTCCTTTGTACTACTTCATGAAAATAGATACTAGGAGGCAAATTACAATCAGAATCGTTTAAAGATATAATCTTGAATTTTTAAATCTTTCAAATGATTGCAAAAAAATTTCACCAACTTCAAAGGAAAATATTTACCTCCTTCATTCTAACTGGAACCAGTTTTGCTCCAAAGGTGTATGGTACACGACTACTTTGGTCTCCCCAGTCCTATATATAATGGCCCTCACAGAATTGGGTATAATTATACAATGTAGTAGTCCTTTTCATATGATGAGGGCAAAATTATATATAGACACCGATTAGAGTAGTACCATATGTTCCATACTGTCACCTAAACATTTGCCAGGTCAAGTCAATGTTTAGATGAGTTTTCTTCATTCACAAGGCCATTTAATAATACATGGAATCCTGCTGGGAAATATGGTACCTATTTATTTATTTTTAAATAGCTATTTATTTGGTTGCTCCGGGTCTTAGTTGTGGCAAGTGGGCTCCTTAGTTGCGGCAGGCAGGCTCCTTAGTTGTGGCTTGTGGGCTCCTTAGTTGTGGCATGCGAGCTTTTAGGTGTGGCATGCATGTGGGATCTAGTTCCCTGACTAGAGATTGAACCTCTGGCTTCGGGAGTGCGGAGTCTTATCCACTGCGCCACTAGGGAAGTCCCTGTGGTACCTGTTTAAAAGAATCTGCACGCCACCAACACCACTCCCCATGTATTCCAGAGATACTTTGAAAACTACTTAAATAAAGACATTACATTTGTCTCTGAATCATAGTCACCATATATTAGAAAGCAGTACAAAGTAAGTTAGCAGACTAGGTCAGTAGGCCCTTCTAAACCTGAACTGATACTCTTCACAATTACATATAAAAGGAACTAGATACTCCCTGTAAGACCTGTCATTATACAACATGTAATTCAGGCCTTAGTGAACTTTAAGGGTTGTAACTTGTGACATGCAGTACCAAACCCATGGTCAGGTATTACTGGCCAAGTCCTTTAGAGAACATATTTTGTTACCTTCAGTTTGGTCAAAAGCCATTCTCCTAAAGATAATGGACTTTGACTTAAAATGGAATTGAAGATCATTCTCACTTGAACAGGAACTCAAAAGTTGACAACATAGCAGGGTAAAGGCTATACAAGACCTCTTAAGTTTTGTTATTACTGTGGTCTTTCACATGATAAGATTCCGGTTAGAATTTTTCAAACATATAATTACTGTTTTAAAGCACTCTATGTGAGTGCTTAATACCATTTAATGTCATTAGATACACTTTTAACTGCTTAATATGGAACAAGGGGAATAAAATTACACTGCAGCAGAAAGCAGTTTTATTTACTAAAGTATGAAATCTTTAATGTACTTATTTATCTTTAAGGCATATAAAAATTGTCCGGTGTTATCTTTGGGCATGGATTGCTGCTTTAGATACTTCATCAGTTTTTACGTACATAATGGTGTTTTTATTTTTCAGTTTTTGCAGAGCAGGTTTGTTTTGTTTTTAGCAGGGAGGCTTTAACTGAACAAATTGGCTTTGTAAGTTTGTATGTTTCCACTGTTCTTTATCTGGTTGTGTATGCTAGGCTTCTGTAACGAAAACTTACGATGAGTGTTTATTACCTAACCTTACTATACCAAATGCCAGTTTTTATTCTTAGGTACTTACCTGTGAGGGTTATAGATGTTAACATGTCATATACTTTGTTTAGAAAATAATAAATTTCTTTCCTACATCTCATCCTGGAAGATTCTATCCAGTGGAATGCAACACAAGGCAAACTAAAAGGAGGCCCTGCTTCATGGAATATTCGAAGTTTTAAGACAGTGGATTCCAGCCATTACTTCTTTATAGCATAAAATGGAACTATTTGCCTTTGCTCTTTCTTTTTTTTTTTTTTTTTTTTAATTTTTTTTGTTCTTTCCTCCTCCCTCAAAA